GTATCCGCTTGTATACATTTGAGTTACCTTAGTCCAAGCGTCATTGAAATCAGTGATTGATGACTTGAGGCGTGACCAGTGAACCTTCAATTGGTTTATTTCCCTTCTTCGCTTCCCATTCCCTTTCTTGTTAAAGTTATCAGTCACTTCCTTCCAAAATGTTTCAAATTTCTTGTCATTACCCTTAAGCTGGATCTTTACTAGCATTCAACCAAGCTTTGGCCTACAAAATGCAAATAAAAAAATATATGAACAAATCGGTGACTTGTACCAAACACTACCCTACAAAGGAAAATAAACAAAACTAATAAGTGATTACCGGTCTTTCTTCCTCGTCATGAGTCCAATATCTTTTATTCAACTTTGTCCTATTTGCCTCACTATTATCCCCTTCATCATTGTCCACAATCTTTGTCTCCTTTGCTAAAGTGCCTTGTTTCTGACTTGGGATGTTCTTGTTGCATGGACACTTGGTGGTGGTGGGGATATTGGGTTCAAGCTCATGGTCGACCAACAAAATGAAAATTTTCTCCTATGTGTGGGTGTGGCGTGGCTGAGGTCGTTGAAGAAAATTCATAAAACCACGGTGGATAAACAATACGACATTTTACAACAGATAAAACAACATTATTTCAACAACTGAGTTCTATTTATTTGATGAAACAATATCCATAGGTGTCTCAATTGAGTCTCTGGTGGATGCTCATTCACTCCACAGGTCTCTGGTGTTGATGCGAGATAACTAACATTATTCCAACTACAGTTCTACTCATCATGTCTCAATAATAATTGGTAGATTGAGATGCATGACTAGGTGATAAACTTAATGCCTTCTTGTAAATAGAGTGTTGATATCAATTTCAGCAATATAATTGTTTTAGCAATATAAAATTATGACTTCATTCATTACTAGAGAAATTTAAGCATCTCGGACCATCATCAAATACTAGTAATCTACAATTCACTCAAATGAATTTTTTATATACTCAAGTGAATATTTTTATCTACATTCTTTGCTCTAGTAAGCTAACTGTATTCACTAGCACACACATACACATCCATTTGTAATTTATTCAAAAAAACTAGAGATCGATTATACACACACAAATGCTTTCATAGATTGAAATGAAAACATACCATAAATTTTGTGCTTGACGATTTCCTTCTTGATTGAAAATTTGAGGCATGGCCCCCAATCCCCCCTACATTGGAATCGGCAAAGCACCACTGCTCCTCCTTGAAGAGAAGGGATGAAGTCGGCTGCAGTAGTGAGCGAGGGAAGAGTTCACGGAGAGAGAGGGACGGTCAGAGGGGGGGCGGAGCTGTAGGGGGGCGGTGGCGAGAGGGAATCGTGGCGAAGAAGAAATTTGGAGGGGGCGCCGACGAAGTAGAAACGCCGTCTTCATTCCAAGGCGGCTGCCGCGCGCCTTTCCCTCCTTCTTTCTTGTTGCGAGAGCTCAGCGTCCGCCATCCATGGCTCTAGATAGGCACCAGTGGTGGCGGCAGAGCGGCGAAGATGATGCGACGGGGACGGAGAGAAAAGCGGCAGTGTGAAGAAAAAGCGGGAGATGGGGAGGGACGGCGGGGAGATGGGGAGGACGGTAGCTGGGAGATTGGGAGGATGGCCAGCGGGAGATGGAGAGGAATGGCGCGAGAGCGAGGAATTCGGCGCGCCGACTGGAGCACGGGATCCATGGAATGAAATTTTTCCCTCAATGGTGGTGTCGTCCGGTTTACCGAGCTCTAGGTAGCTCATATTTGGGTCGTTTCGTGGCCACGACGACACGAACTCGTTCTCTCTCCTCCGGTTTCATTCACAGATTCTATTTTTTTTCTGACGTGGCATCTAATTAATGTGCATGACACCCCTGTGAAATCTGCATTGAGACTGGCCTAATTGTCAAATAACAACGAAAATACTACAGTACCGTTCCCCAAAAAATTTCGCCGGCTAAACAAGGCCTTGGTCTACAGACTACAGGTACACAAAAAAGCTCAGACCGAAAGACGGTGGTGGATCCACACCATCGTCGTAGCAGCAGTAGACAGACGACTGACCTGACCTGGTCAGCAGGTCAAGCGAGGTCATCCGAGAGACTTGAAACGTTCACATCATACATTTGATTGACTCGTTAAACATACGGACCAACATCGTCGCTTCTGCGAGAGTGTGAATCTCAATTAGAATAGCTATAAGCACATTAAGGCCTTGTTTAGTTCCTCTCAAAACTTTACACTCTATTGTATCGAATGTTTGGACACATTAATATAGTATTAAATATAGACTAAAAAATAATTAATTGTACAGATTACGACTACTTTACGAGACGAATATTTTAAATATAATTAGTCCATGCTTTGATAATAAAGTGATATAGTAACACATGTGCTAATGAGAGATTAATTATGCTTAATAAATTTATCTCGCGGTTTACGACGACTATAATTTGTTTTTTATTAGGATCCGAACATCCCATACGAAATGACGTCCCAAAACTTTAAACATGGATCAAGCACCACCTAAACAAACAAACTGTCCTTTTTGCGTGTGAGTCGTGGGAGAGAGAGAGAGTTCGAAAGACTACTGGTTCAAATGCAGGTGTTTCCATACCTTGGGGTCAGGGTAATTGAGACTCAGGTTCAGACCCTTTCCTCGGACCAGTTGTTGCTATTTTGTACGGCTCCTTTCCTCCCTTTTTCCCAAAGAGAAAACAGTGGCCATATTTAACTCCTGTAATTAACTAATTATAGCAGAGAAAAGTCATTGCTCTTCAGAGTTCAGTTGCAGCAGCCATTTGCAGAAAATCAAGCTTTATCAGCAGCTTTTTACTAGAAGTGCTTCTTTTGTGCACGTCCGTTGCGAAAAACCGACAGCAACCGTTGCAGAAAATCAAGCTTTATCAGCAGCTTTTTACTAGAAGTGCTTCTTTTGCACGTCCGTTGCGAAAAAACGACAGCAACCGTTCCTTTTACCCGGAGGAAGAAAAGGGCTAGTACAACAGTGTGGGAATTGGACGCGACATCGTCTTTCGTCTCGTGTCACCTGCCAAAAATGAGAGAAATGCTGCGGCAGCCTGTTCGTTTACTTTTGGTTCGTTTCGTTCTTGATTAACGAAGAAATCTGCACCGTTGGTTTATGTGAGAGAAATCTTTGCTTCGAATCGAAAATTTATGATGTTTACGATAAGCCCACGTCCAAACGAACGGGGTGACTAAATGCCGAGCAGACGTCAGTTTCATGCCGGGTAGGGGCGGCCGTGTCCACGCTACCGTTCGGGCGGTGGATGCCCGCGTGTCGCCGAAAAGTTGCGCGGAGACCTGGCACCGCGGCGACACGGTCGCCGGATGCGCGGGGCTCTGCCTGCCTGCTGACGGCGGCGGTTCCCGTTCCGTTTCCGCCTCCATCCCGGGACGCGGTGCGCACGGCATCCACCCAGCCTTCCAGGGCCCAGCGTCACACGGGCGGACGGTTCGGTTCTGTGTGCCGCGCTCGGCTCAGTTCCTCCGCCCGGTCCGCGGCGTCCCAGCGTACAGGCGGCCTGGCCTGTTCCTTTTTTCCGTCGCGAACCCATGGACGAGGCGACCCGTTGACTCCACTCCAGCAGGGCGCGGCGTTTGCGACGAACAGTGCTCAGGTTGATGCCAACACGGTTCCTGAATGACAGCCACAAGGACAAGAATAATGCATGAGAACCTTTGGAAAAGCAAAAGGCATTTCGAGCGGCGTCCGTGGAAATAAACCTTTTTTTATAACAATGGAAATAAAAGTTTGAAGCCGTATTTCGCGGTAGAAGCCAAATCACGGCTGACAGATAGTTGAACTACTCTCGTAGCCCTGATAAATAAAGAGGTCCTTAGATTGAGGTATCTACGTTGTTTATGTAATGTGTTGTATTTGTATCACTTATCTAAATTTATTCATGTTGTTCGGTCCATCGGTGTTGTAACGATTGTCACGTGGCTTAGATCTAAGTCAGAAACCGTAAGTTATTCGTGTGGCTATCATGCCGTACAAATATTCTCTCTTATAACTAGTACTTTTTATTCACTTGTGTGTTCACACTGATATTCTGAGCGCTTTACTAATTTGTTAATTTGAAAAATGATGAATACAAGACGAAGAATAGTGCAAGAAAACGCACTCGGACGAGAGAGAACCTTGAGAAAGGGAAAGATTTCGAGCATCATCCGTGAAAATAAGTTCAGTTTCAGCTTATGCAACATGTAGCACTTGATCCTTTGGTCCATCGCGTCGTAACGCTTACCACATAGTTTGTAATTATGATACCATAAGCCACTCGTGCGCCTATCGTACCATACATGTATTCTCCATTGCCGCTAGTACTTTTATTCGCCCCATGCGACCGCAACGAGGACAAAATTTGCTTTATTCATTATTGCTAGAACTTTTGTTCGTTAATTTGAAGAAGGAACATTGACCGTTACATATAGCGCGTGTCGGTTGACCTGGATAATATAGATTTACGAGTAACCCAATTCATCAGTATTGTAACGCTTTGCTATATGATTTTGATTAAGCCTAGTATATTATATCCGCACAACACTAGGTTTTTATTCTTTTATACTAGTATATTATTATATCAAGTATGAACACCATTGTTCGTTGATCCATGGATCGAGAGTGAAAACCTTGACCCCTCTCTCTCTCTCTCTCATGAGACTGAGAGTAGGATCGTCGTAGCTAGGCTTAAGAATTAAGATAGCGACGCACCCGGCGCACGCACGCACGGGCACGGCGGCTTACGCTTCAACCGCCGCAGCCAAGAACGGGACGAAACCCATACAAAGGCAGAGCCGCAGAGGTGCACACAGCCAAAAGCAACCAACCCCCACCCCGAGGGCTTCCTTCCTCTTCTTCCTCTTGCTCTCTCTCCCCTCCTCCCCTGCTCGGCTACTCGAAGCCAGGGGAACCCAGCCCAGCCCCGCACGCACAGGGTCGCCCACGCCACGCATACGCAGCCGCGGCGGAGGGCCATCCGATGGGCTGCTGCGGGTCCTCGCTGCGGGCGGGGACGCACCCGGAGAAGAAGCCGCCGGGGAGGGCGGCGGGGGCGCTCCCCCCGCACCGCTCCTCCTACTCGCTGAATCAGCACCAGGCGCCTGCGCCCTCCGCGGCTCGCGCGGGCGCCGGCGGGCGCCAGGTGCCGCCGCTCAAGGAGTTCTCGCTCGCGGAGCTGCGCGCCGCCACGGGCGGCTTCGCGGCGGAGAACATCGTGTCCGAGAGCGGCGAAAAAGCGCCGAATTTCGTGTACAAGGGCCGCCTCGAGGCCAACCGCCGCGCGATCGCCGTCAAGAAGTTCACCAAGATGGCGTGGCCCGATCCCAAGCAGTTCGCGGTACGCCACTACGCCCAATAACAGGACGGCCTCGGCCTCGGGGTTCGACTGTCGCCCAACCCACCCCGCGCGCGCCCCGATTTGGGATGGAATTCGCCGCGATGAAAGCTTTGCTTCTTCTTTTGCTCGCAGGAGGAGGCCAAGGGGGTCGGGAAGCTGCGCCACTGCCGCCTTGCCAACCTGATCGGCTACTGCTGCGATGGGGACGAGCGGCTGCTCGTCGCCGAGTTCATGCCCAACGACACGCTCGCCAAGCACCTCTTCCACTGTACGTTTGCTCTTATCGATCCTTTACCCATTGGTCCATTTCTGATAAAGTCGCTTTCTGATTTCTGGTTGGCTGCGAGATATATCTCGCTGGCCATTTTCGGTAAATACAGCCTGCAAAGATTTTGTCCTTGTCGGATTCGATCCTGGTTAGTGCGGAAGTTGGCAAAAAAGACGAATCCGTGTGCTCTGAGCAACCGCTGACGCTTAGCAGCCTCCCGCATTTGGTGTACCGAACGAATGATTGATGATTGGGCTAGGCTTTGTCATATGCAATTCCTGATTTGGCTGTTGTTGGCGTGGTCGTTGTGTGAATCCATAGAATCAGATTATGGTGGCTGCATTGAACACATGGTGTAATTTTAATGCATCACTGTTCTGTGTTCACAAGTTCTGTTCATTGTTTTGGATGGGTGGATGACTAGAATTCACTCAGACGATTTCAATGTAGCCGAATCTTCTCATTGTGAAACTTAAGAAATTGCTATGTGTTCTAGAATGCCTATTGGAATGAAGCAGTTCATTTATGAACTAAATGTTTGGATATGTATAATTTGTTTCCGATGAACAGCCTGACCCTAGGGTGAATGGGCAAGTTTGGGTTTGTTGGTAACGATAGCCCCGGTTGATAAATGGTGCTTAATTTCTTTGTGAACATTAGGGCATGTCATTACTTCTTTTGTTAATCTAGACTGCATCGACCTTTTATGGGAAGATGATTTGGTAAAAATAAGCAAGTAACTGCGGTGTATGTAGGTCAGTTCACTGTTGATACTGCTTTTACTCTTATTCAGGGGAAAACCAGACAATTGAATGGGCCATGCGCCTGAGAGTTGCATACTACATCGCTGAAGCACTGGAGTATTGTAGCACTGAGGGAAGGCCTATGTATCATGACCTCAATGCATATAGGGTCCTCTTTGATGAGGTAACTATTACTTTGATTTTCTTTTTTTCTTACGGGCAATGGAGTTATATGGAGAACTGCCAATAGACTATAGTATCATAAAGCTGAGGAAATGTGGATAATATTGTTTTCGCTACAAATATCTCTTGTGCAAGTGCCAAGTATTGCTGTGTTCCTCTGACAAGAGCAGCTTTTGATTCCATTTGCTTTTACCACCAGCGTGGATGTTTTCTCTGAGCTCATCTGAAATTGGAAGTGGAGGGGTCTGTTGCCACCTGTTTTCCACCTCTGGTGGTTGGAAGGAAAAATATATTAAAATAGAATGTCAGCTCTTTTTCATTAAAATTTCGTTAAAAATGGTATATTCAGCCCTAAAGGCAGGTCTTTAGATAGTAATGCCATATTAGCAAACATGTTCTTTTTTGAAAAATGATTAGCATCCTTATGAGGAATGCTCTTTGCGATGACGTCAATTGCATATTACAGCACTTTGCATGTTTCTCAAATTCTACTAATCCTGTGTGGGCTGAACAACCAATATAATTTCTTTTGCAGAATGGTGATCCTCGTCTTTCATGCTTTGGCCTGATGAAAAACAGCAGGGACGGGAAAAGTTATAGCACAAATCTTGCATATACACCTCCAGAATATTTGAGAAATGGTAACATATGATTTATCTATGACAAAGATAAATCTTCTTTGAATTGCTTAGTTAGGGTATTTAGAAGTGATATAAATAACAGTACATGCTATTTACTGAAAATAGAATGGCTGACATTTTCGTAATGATGGGATTTCCATGGCAACCTTTGCTGCTCCAGGAAGAGTAACATCAGAAAGTGTCATATTCAGCTTTGGCACTATACTGCTGGACCTCCTAAGTGGAAAGCGTATACCCCCTTCCCGTGTAAGTTTTTCTTACTAGTAACTATTTCTTTCCAAGTTCCCGTGTGATACAGAAGTACAGAACCCCTTTCACAAAATACCTTTGTATTTAATACTATTCTGTGCATATCTGCTTTGCGCAAGTGCCACCAAATGTGTGATACTGATCATCTTTGAGAGGACATATTTTTCTTGTGAATGTGACTTGGTAGCAGAATTGTTTGGTGAAACTACTTAATCATTAACAATTAGATTCGTTTCGCTCAGGCTCTTGATATGATAAAAGGCAACAATATCCAAGTACTGATGGATTCACATTTGGAGGGAAACTACTCAACAGATGAGGCAACCACATTGGTTGACCTTGCCTCTCAGTGCTTACAGTATGAACCTAGGGACCGGCCCAACACTAAAAAACTGGTTTCCGTACTTGAGCCCTTGCAAATAAAATCAGAGGTAACAGTTACATTTTTATCCTTCTCAATTAAAAATCCTTTTGTGTTCTGGCATCGATTGTTTATCGTGATGTGATTCATGGCTTCCATACGACTGTTATCTTTTGGTAACAAGGCAATTTTTTGTTTTTACTTATGTCTGGTACATTTCCATTTTTAAATGACAAACAGGTACCATCCTATGAGATGCTTGGCATTCCAAAGTATGAAGAAGAAGCACCTCCCCCTCCACAACCACAACACCCTCTTTCTCCCATGGGTGAAGCCTGTTCTAGGATGGATTTGACAGCTATCCATCAGATTCTAGTGAATACACATTACAGGGATGATGAAGGGAGTAATGAGGTAAAGATCAGAGCATTTCTGTTGCTGTCTGCTGACTTTTCGACAGGATATTACATCTAAGAAAAATGGCGTCTTTATTGCAGCTATCGTTCCAGGAATGGACACAGCAGATGAGGGACATGTTGGAAGCTAGGAAACGTGGAGACTTTGCTTTTCGTGATAAAGATTTCAAGGCAGCCATAGATTGCTACACACAGGTGCCTCATCTTAGTTATATCTGGAACACTTAGATATTCTCGAAAACTGCTAGAATGCAGCCAATTCACTTTGCAACCTCTTCATTTTGCAGTTTGTTGATGTGGGGACTATGGTATCACCAACAGTGTACGCAAGGCGGAGTTTGTGCCACCTCATGTGTGACCAACCTGATGCCGCCCTCCGCGACGCAATGCAAGCACAATGTGTGTACCCAGATTGGCCAACTGCGTTCTACATGCAAGCTGTTGCGCTCTCAAAGCTGAATATGCAGAGCGATGCTACGGACATGTTGAACGAGGCGTCGCAGCTTGAAGAGAAGCGGCAGAAGAACACAAAAGCTTGAAACGGTTCCTTTTGCGGCTCAAAAAGGTTTATGTTGAGACATGCTGCTTGGTCCTTCCTAAACATTGTGGTTAGTTCCTGGAATCCTGGTCCAGGGGTTGGGAATGTAACTGGGGGGTGTGCTGTAGAGTCCTGTGATTGTAACTACCTGGTTTTGGCATTTCTGTGATGCATTTTTTGGGCCCGTGTACATGTTACATTGACAAAAGGTCAAAACAGGCAGGATGCAAGGGAAGTTACTTCTGGTTGTCAAAATCTGGATGCAAGTGAACTCCAGAGTCATCTTTGCCTAGCTAACGAATCGTTGTGCTGCTTGTACTGACATGGTGAGATTTTTTTTTTTATTTTTAACACTTTTTGTAAAATAATTTTAAATCTTACACGGTTTATTTTTCTTCTTCAAAACTAACACTTTTGGCCGTGTCTATTTCACTGGCGTGGCGAAACGCCTATGCCGCGCCATTCATGGTGGCGCGGCGAGAGGGTTGACGTGCCGACGACCGGAGCGACGACCGGTGACGTGGCAAGGTCTGCCGCGCCACCGATCTTGGAGCGACTCTGGGGCGTCCTAATCGGTGGCACGGCAGAGCTGTGTAACATCGCCGCTCGCCGCCGGCGTGTTCGCCCGCGCCGCGCCGGCCTGCGCCACGCATGTCGGTAGCCACTCCCACTGCTGTGCGGCGGCGCGCCCTGCGTTGGCGCGCCACCCCTCCAGCCCCATGCGCGCTTGCCGCCGTTACGCATGGCGGGCTGGTGCCGCCCGCCACCGTCCTCACTGCCGCGCCTCCCGGCCCGGTCTAGCGTGCAATTGAAACGCAATATTAATATCAATCTGGAAAAAAAAGAGAAAACATGTGGTACTTTCTCGCAACCACTAGGATCAAAAATCAGAACCTTCATCCGAGATATCCCATCATACTCGAATACCAAGAAGTCGATCTTTTTCAAGTCATGGGCACTAACAAATGACTTCCACCCATATTGAAGCACTATTCTGCCCATATTCTTTGCAACTTGAACATCAAAAGTATAACCGCCAAGTGATTCAAGAGTAATACTTCTATTTTGTCTCCGAAATGTTTAGCAAATTTACCCGGTATGACCTGCGGCAGCAAGATTAACGCAGAACAAAGTTCAGATGAAGTAGAATTTATACTCTAGTGTGTTTGAATGTAGAGCTAAAGTTTAGAGGCGTCATATCAGATGTCATATGGGGTGTCACATTAAATGTTTGGATAGTAATAATAAAACAAATTATAGAAGTCCTCAGTAATCCGCGAGACGAATTTATTAAGCCTAATTAATCCGTCATCAGCATATGTTGATTGTAACACCACTTTGTCAAATCATGGACTAATTAGACTTAAAAAAATTCGTCTCGCAAATTAGTCTCAATCTATGTATTTAGTTTCGTAATTAGTCTATATTTAATACTTTATATATATGTCAAACATCCAATGCAACGGGGACTTTAGGAGGGGTTTATGCATGGCTCCGGCCTCCGGTCCAATTAATTTCTTTGGACGCCTGTTGTTAACAATTCCCTGGCAATCTGGAGTACGGCTCAGTGGCTCACCGCCGATCTTGCGATCTGCCTGCCGTCAGCTGAGCAGATGGCGAGCCGGCAAATGGTTCTCTCGGCAAACACGGCAACGATGTGCTGCGTGCAGCGACTGCAGAGGCATCAGGCATGGGCTCATGCGCATCCGGATAGGAGGTGGAACCGTCGGTGTGGCCTGTGGCGTGCGCTCACCGAGCCACCGGCCCTGTCGTCGGCCTTGGGCTTTCCGGATGACGCCGAAGCCGTCATCTGCACAGAGCACGCCGTGATCGACGACCGGCGAACTGGACACAGATCCCAGCGGATCGTGGGCAGCACCAGCACTGCGCCCGGCGAGACAGCTAGGTTTGGCGCCGCGTGAGTCCGTGACAGGTTGACCACTGACACCACCATCAACGGCGGTGGGCTATTGGGCTCCAGATCTGGAGTGGCCCATTCCAAAGTCAGCCCATCGAACTTGTGAATCGAGGACTCTAGCAGGTTGCAATAAGTAGGGTTTATTAAAAGTCAGCATGTTACTGCCTCCTCGCACTAGAGAACGCGGAGCATCAGTGGCTCTTCTACGAACTAATACTGGTCACATCTCTGGATGCATGGTAACGAACTAATAAAGATGTAATTAAACGATGGCGCCAATCAATGGTTAGATATATTTGCGTCATGTTTCCGGCATTCATTCGAGTCTAGCTCAGCACACGTGCACCCTCTGTTTTGGCTAATTAAGTTTTCCGTGGTTCCACTTGCATTTATTTATATTAATCATCGACGGCTACTATAGAGACGACTACTATAACAATTTTTTAAAAATCCAGAGAGACCCATCAGACAGCCATACGCATGCGACCATTGCAAGTCACAAGTCACACGTAGGCCTCGTGCTCATAAGTCACGTGTGTCCACCTAAGATATTATTTCTCCTCGTTTTATTATTATCCGATTTTAAAATGAGTATTTGGGACTCTAAATGAATTTAAATAAAAAATTGTCAACTACAAAGCCGTATAACCTTTTGAGATCTACAACTTTGGTTTGGTTGTTTTACCATCCGAGATCGTTTGAAAATTTTGAATTTCAAATTTAAGAAATTCAAATATAATTTTCCTTAGATAGATGATTTCAAATAAAAAAGTTATCAACTACAAAGTTTATAACTCTTCGAGATCTACAACAGCACAGAGACCAGAGGCAACAAAATTAAACATTGACAAGTTGAATCAGACAAAGACACAAGATAGATACTAAAACACAAGACACAAGGTAGACTAAATCTTGCCTCCGGCATCGTGCCCTTGCCCGGCCGCCGAGGTCCTATGCTGCGGCAAGCTTCGTGACCACCTACACCAGCTTCGCGGCCGCCTTGATCGTGGCGGCGACGGCAACATCTCAGCTGCGTTACCGGTAACTACCGCCCTTGCACGGCGCTGCTCGTCGCTAGGCTGCTCATAGGATCGAGACCGTTCGAGATTTTCTTCGATGAGACCAAGCTGTGAAACGTGTGGAGGAGAGGCGTCCTTGACTGCGCGCTCAAGCGCAATTGAGACTGTCTGAGAGATCTCAGAACGCGTCTACTGAGACGCGCACACACCCTATAAACAACTGAGACGCGCACACACCCTATAAACAACTGAGACGCGCACACACCCTATAAACACACCACGCCTACAGTCCCCTCTGGGGAAAATCCCCGGTGCAGCACCCACGATCGCCCATGCTGGGATTCGAACTGGCCACTGCCAGCGCTACCAATTGAGCTAGAGCTTGTCCGCTTGAGCGGTCTTTGTGGGACAAATTTCAAACTCTTTCTACATATACATATGCAGTTTCTCTAGGCCGGAGGGAGTACACGCTATGGTATCGTATACCCCTGTGTGGCCTAGTACTTGGCTCGAGACCTAAATGGTCCAATCTTGTTTTGGCACTTCGGCTCATGTATCAACATGTGGACCGAGGGCTCTCTTTTTTTTCCTGCACCTTGACTTGGTCCACCACTCTCTTTACCAATATAAGGCTCCCTCCACAAACGGGGAAATTCGTTATTATGGTCATGTTCGCTGATGAAGTCATTGAATCTGATGCGGTTGTTGGTACCAACATGCTTCATCATTTTTGGATTGAGACCCCTCTTAAAACTGGCTATTCTTTTAGCATCTGTGTCAACCATGTCGGGAGCATAGCGACACAAGTTGTTGAAGGCATGCAGGTATTGCATCACGGTCTTGGTGCCCTGGTTCAACGCCAGAAACTCTCCCAACTTCATTTCAGTCAGCCCGGGTGGAATATAGACTCCACGGAAGGCCTCAGCAAACTCTCTCCAAGAAATCTGAGCATTTGGAGGGAAGGTGGTGCGATGGTGCTTCCACCACATTCCCGCCGGTCCCTGCAATTGAAGTGCAGCATACTCCGTTTTCAGAACCTCCGTCATCCTTAACACACGGAATTTATCCTCTATCGTGTTGATCCATTCCTCAGCATCGAGTGGCTCGGTCGCTTCCTTGAATACTGGCGGCCTGGTGTCCATGAAATCTTTGAAGCTGCTATATTGGTTCACTCCCATGCCACCACCTTGATTGTTTCCACGTTGAACGTTGTTGGCGATGGTGCGCAGAAAATCCTCCATGTTCTTCTGGGATTGTTCCGCATTGCGCTGACTCCCGAGCAGCTGTGCGAGGAACATTTCGGGGGTAAACGAGGGAGGAGGTGGCAAATGTGGTTCATGGGGAGGTTCATTGTTGTTGCCGTGGTTTCCACCACCACCGCCAGTCCCCGCACCGTTAGCACCGGGCTCAGCGGCTTCATACGTGGTTCGGCGAGTGTTTGTCATCTGCATATTTCAGCAACAAGTAACGATTGAGTGAAGCTGTAATAATTGCGAGTGAAGGAAAAATTATGCCGTACTGAATTTACTGGAGAGAATGAATTCATACAATAAAACAGAGGCACAACAATCGCATCCCAATTAAAACAACAGCACCTAATCAAATTACTCCAACGGCAAACATCGTGTCCATACAATCACATTGCCAGCATACATACACTGGACTTTTTATGCGTTCAGATATCGCATTCGAAAATCAAGTTCCAACCACATGCCAAGTCTCATACGTTCGAAGCAACACACGATAGGTTACATGCCAACAAAAGAAAGGTCATCGCGACAGGACCTAGATACTAGCGCAAGACAACTAGCCTACTCCTCGGGGCCATCATCGGGATCGGAGACGTCACCATCGCCTCCAGGTGAAACTGCAGGCTCATCCTGGTTGTCGTCGTCGATGTCCATGCCAGCGGCGTCTGGTGGAGCATATGGGCCAACCCCATTGTAGAGCGCGTGAAACTCCTCGTGCAGGTTGCCGTTGTATTCCTCTAGCTCATCGACTCTCTGCAGCAAAAGGTTTCTTGCGTTCCAGGCTTCATTCCTTTCCTGAACCAACTGTCCAATC